CGATATACCACCTTCAGCCTTCTTAATGAAGATACATTGGTATGCTGTGCATTTTCATTAAGTGAACTGGTGGACCTGGTGCTATTCTTGTAGTTTATTTAAATGATGAATATTCCTATTGTTTATTCAGTAGGGTAACGTACCAACACACGGGCCGGGGACTGGTGGCATTTTGTCTACTCTGCCACCTCTTTGTTAAACCACTGTCCATAGTAATTGACATACCTGAAAATAGCGTGGCTTAGTGGATAACGGATTTGGATCACATAGTGCGGAATTAGAAGTATTTCATAACACATGCGGATTATTTGGTCGGCCGCCAACCTCGGGCTACCTGACCGCAGTGTAGAGCAGACTCCTATAATAATATAACTATACCACGTAATGCGTCTACGCAACATTCAGCGTCTTTTTATACTATGGGCAAGCAAACTATTATAATATTGATCGTTATGTTCGTCAGTTCTCTCATAACTACTTATCTTGATATAACTTGTCAAATGAGTTATCGTTGGAAGAGTCTTGAGCGTCTGAGACATTAATTTTCATACTAGAGACGTCCGCTAGAGAACATAATGTTAAAAATAAAAAAGTAACATATTTTAGTATTACTTTTTAAAGTCATTTTATATTCGAAGCTTCCATTAATATTACCTATTAAGGCTGTTTCGAATAATTCACAAAGGGATTAATTTCGTTTATGATATCAGTTCAGCGTGTGACATATTTATTTAAGTTAAATAAATACGGCATATCAAAGGCTGAATTGTTAAAATAGCTCGTTCTACGAAATAATACTGTAAAAGGCTCGTGCTTTTATTTGTTATACCACTGTTGACTGTACCACATACAGAGAGATTCGTGGAATCTGTGATCCAAGCGGACATATTGCATTTCACTCGCTTAAATTTTGCATGACTGCTGGAAAATGGGATTGAAATTCTTTTCTATAAATAGTATGAAGCGCAATCATTGTTGTCGTATGTCTACTTCTCTATTTGTTTTCTGTCAACGTTCCCACAGATTTTAGTACGATTTTTAACGTACTATTTAGAATTTCTTCCGGAAGGTGTAATACATTCATATGGTTTTATTTCTTCCGTTCATTCGCTGTACACCGCGAAACCGAGTCGGATAGCTAAATTTCCACAAACATATATGCATTTTTTTTTCTTTAGGCAGGTAAACCATGTCGTACGTGTACAGTCAAACGAGTCCTTTAATTCTTTTTGTTCGAATTTGTTTTCCTCATGTTATAGTCACATTGCATTCCACTGTATACCAACTTTCAACTTCGTAATTAAAAACAGTTTCCTGCACAGCGACATTTATGAATAAAACTGAATTTCATGCAGATGCATCTATTTTACGAGTCGTAACTTCATCGTGTAGTTGGGACGTGAAACGTGAAACTAGTATCATGAAAGTTTTGATGCTTATGGGACCATGTTCCGTGAAATCTATTGTAGATTTCAGAACTAGTTTTGTAATATTATGAAACAAATTTCATACATGATACATGAAAGTGATACGAGTCAAACTTTATACTGCTATGACGATGTAGCTTTTTGTTTTTTGTATTTTATATACATTATTATTATTATTGCACTTAAATACATTTTTAGGTATATTATTAGAAATAATGTTAACAAAGGAGACCTTATCTCTAAATCTCTTCTAGATCTCTTACAGTCGAATACGAAATTTTGATTGGATTGATTGATTCAAGTTATGCAAAAAAATACTTTGCCAAATAAAAATATATTGGTAATTACCTATTGTTATTTTTGAATTTGTTAGTAATGGCATTGTAACAAGGTACTAAAATGGTCATGTAGTGGTCAAAGTTTCGAATTAGTCATACAATAAAGCTTAGTCCAGTATTATTCCTAAAATGGGAGAATTTCATGATTTGGAATAGCTTTTGCAAATGAATGAATAGAGATCATTAGCCGATACAGCTATGAGATGAACTATAACAACTACATTACAGAATCGCATAGTTAAATATGGGAAGGTCACACATAGAATAGTCTCATTATTCAACACTAGCGCCAAGTAGCGCGTTATTTAACAATTTATTGGGATTTTGTTTACATGATACATCACTGCTGAAGTAAAAACACCGTGTTATCTTGTTTTATAATTAAATAATTTATATTTCAAATAATATTTACGTAATATGGATTTTTTTATTAGCTAGATTTGTGTCCTAATGATAAAGGAAAACGTGATATTTAAATTATAAACGTTATTCGTTGTAATAATTATTTATGTTATGAAAAACCACATAGATCCAAATGATCCACTATTTCTAGAAGTAATTTCCATCATCGATAAAAATACAAAAAGAAGGTCGATTACTTTGGAATTCGTTTATTCTACTACATATTCAATCACTATCATACAAACTATGATATAATAATAATAACTTACATTCACGACAGTTATATAAGTTATACAGATATATAATATATATAGCGTTTATGTTCCATATGTCCAATATTAGATATATTTTAAAAGATTTTTCAAATAGTAATACATTGTGTAATGTATGTGTATAAGTTGTTTTCCCAATTTAAATATTGAATAATTATTATTTTACAATTTAATTTGTTTTAATTGTAATTGACCTTGACCTAGAAATAAATAACATTGATAGAGATATTATTAAAAAAACTTCTTAATTCACTTAAGTTATGGACTGTCCATTGTAAAAAATATAGCGCATTTTTTTTAATATTAATTAATTTAGAAATTACTTAAGAATTTTAATAATTATTACTTTCTGTTGTATTTAAGAATTAGTCTTAACAATAAAAGCTTTTCTGTATTACCAGATAAAAGGAAGTATTGCAAAAAATATTTTATTTATTTTTGTAATTCATTTTGTCTAAAGAATCAGTGAGATTAACCAGCACAATTCGATAACAAATTCTAAGTTAGAATCTAGTAAATAGGAACTACATGGAACGGCGTATCGTATAATCAGTTATCCGACACCAAAATATTTTTTCGATTTCGAATTTGCTCTGCTTCGAACAGCATGGGGTTTTTCAAGGCCCCACTCCCGACCCTTATGAACCCTTAATATACCCTATATTAACGTTGGTTAAGGGTCGTGACACTCCTGGTATTTCAGGCCATATGCTAGATTAACCCATGGCCATCAGATGGGCCGTATGCTTGTTTGCCATCGTCGTAGTATAAAAAAAAAGCTTGTAACAAAATCCCGAACGTTGGCCGAAAATAGACGCTGCGAGTGTGCGCTGAGTCACTACGCTTAACGTTGGAGTCTCGCACTGTACGAGTGAAATTCGATACAAGCAATACAATATTATTCTTTTACTTGTTTTCTACCGTTTTATTTGATAAAATATCTCCTTTGCTGAATACTATCTGATGTAATAGGTTTTTTACTGATATTTTTTGAATACATTAATCTATACATGCTACAAATTTATTTCGACACTGTTCTCGAGATGAGAATAATTCTTGTTGTGTAAAACACAGTTTTTTATAATTACGTAGAAATATATACGGTCATTACTGTTATCCGGGATAGGGTAATGTGAGCAATGATGACAAGTCACACAAGGTTTTTTACTGTTGACCAGATTCGAATTGATGACCGTTCGATCCAAGTTTGACTAGTTGGTAGTTACTGACTGGTATGCCACAACACTCTCTGTAACTGCAAATTCGCGCGGTGCCTCGTCCGAGCGAATTCGTTATTCGTATTATTTTTGAAATTTTAAATTACTTCCCAATAACATACAGCCTATGACATACGATTATAATGTAACTACAGCAAGATGAAAAAAAATAAACAGTTAAGTATTTTACGAGATCATTTTCGAGTTCAGGATTACATTCAGGATTTTTAACTTAACTCGTAAAGACGTGTATAATTTTAATTTACATTATTTGAATTTTACCAAATACTTTATATATATTTGAGTCTGAATGGATGAGATGGCAACGATTTATTCATATTTATTCTCTAACTACCTGACCCAACAGACATTGTCCTGTCTTAGCTATGAATATTCAATTCTAAATTCACGTTCAACAAATGCTCGTCCTATCCGAAGCACGAAGTTAAAATAGTCGTTGAGTTTTATGAAATTTTCCACTTTACTGCATAATTTTCTTATTTTTCCTCCGCTCCGAAGTATTATGTAGTACCTGAAAAGAGAAATTATATGTAGTTTTTTATCAATTTGTTTTTTATGTTGATCATTCAGTAGTTATTGTAAATTATATAGTATTACCTTCATTTATTAAATATTTTTATAAAGTTATTATTCCTTATTAAATATTTAATATTAGTCTATTGAAAGTATAACATACTATCAATATTATTATGCTTAGAATTACTAGTAGGTGCATTCCATGTACATAGAGATTACTTCAAACATACAAACTGACAATCTTTACTTCTTCATAATATTAGTTTAAGATTTTATATAATAGAACATATATATATGTATTAGTAGATACATATATGTATGTACTCGTACTACCGGATTATTTGGTGTTCGTAAATTATATTTTAAGTAAATAATTATGTTAACATTCATTTATTGTATTATTACCAATGTTTGGAGTAATATTGTAATTTCATTTGCGAATTGCGAATTAAATTTGATTACTGACCACAATAATTCATATTGGAAATTACCTTTAGCGAGAAACTTTTTTATATGCTAGACCGAAATACAACACCATTCTTTTTAAAAATGTACTAAATTAATGATGATTATAAATATGGCTAAGATATAGGTAAGACATACGGGTATAGGTAAATATAGTATACAAACATCGCGTATCTAACTTATCAATATGAAACTTTAAATGTAATACTTCCATAAAGTCATCTGTAGAGAAAATGCGACCAATTATTGAGAACTCCACAAGAAGTAAAATATCTCGTAGACCCAAAGAAACAAGTCAATTAATTAAAGTGAGATATTTATCAAGATTTTTCTTTGTTTCAGTGGAGAGCACTGGCGATCGTCTGCCCATCACCGTAGGCAAACCAGGTGATCCCTCACCGCCAATATTCGAGCAAATCTTCAAAAATGCAAGATTTGCGCAAGGTGGTAATGCGAAGTTCGAAGGAAAATTAAGAGGGAATCCAACGCCTGTAGTGTCGTGGACCAGAAAGAAAGCACCACTAGTTGAATGCAATAAGTATAGTATGAGCTACAATGAACAAACTGGTGATGTGTCGTTACTAATTAAACAAATTGGGCCAGGTGATGAGGGCGAGTACACATGTACAGCTCGCAATCAGTACGGTGAAGCAATTTGTTCGGTGTATATACAGCCTGAGGGAGTCCCTGTACCTGCTCAACAGTCCTCTCAACAACAGAGCTACCGACATGTTAGCGAAAGTGTCGAACATAAATCATATGGCACTCAAGGGTACTCCACGGAACAGTCACGGCAAACACAGAAAATTGCCTACACGAATGGTTCCGATTACTCTTCTACCGAGGACTTCAAGGTCGATACTTTCGAGTACAGACTTCTAAGAGAGGTATCCTTCAGAGAAACAATCACTAAGAGATACATTGGGGAAACTGACATTCAAATCAGCACCGAAGTTGATAAGTCCTTGGGCCCTGTAGCCCCACCTAAAATATCACAGAAACCAAGAAATTCAAAACTTCAAGAGGGAGCTGACGCACAATTTCAGGTACAGCTATCAGGTAATCCCAGGCCTCGAGTAACGTGGTTCAAGAATGGACAAAGGATAGTGAATTCGAACAAACACGAAATTGTAACGACACATAACCAAACGACACTTAGGGTAAGAAACACACAAAAGTCTGATATTGGTCACTACACCTTATTAGCTGAAAATCCCAATGGATGTATTGTAACGTCAGCATATCTCGCAGTAGAATCTCCTCAAGAAACATATTTCCAAGATCAGAAATCACAATATATTGTAGACTCACAACAAACAGGATATGAAGAAAGAGTAGAAGTAACCGAAAAAGCTCTCGCTCCGCAATTTGTAAGAGTTTGCCAAGATCGCGATGTAACGGAGGGCAAAATGACGCGATTCGATTGCCGCGTCACTGGCAGACCTTACCCAGAAGTCACGTGGTTCATTAACGATAGACAAATTCGAGACGATTATAATCATAAGATATTAGTAAACGAATCCGGTAATCATGCACTTATGATTACAAACGTCGATCTCAGTGATAGTGGTGTGGTAACGTGTGTAGCGCGAAATAAGAGTGGGGAAATATCTTTCCAATGTAGACTGAACGTAATTGAAAGGGAACAAGTAGTTGCTCCTAAATTTGTTGAGCGTTTCAGTACTTTGAGTGTCCGTGAGGGCGAACCTGTTGTTTTGAATGCACGCGCAGTTGGCACACCCATACCACGAATCACATGGCAGAAGGACGGCGTACAAGTTATACCCAATCCAGAGTTACGAATTAATACCGATGGTGGGGCCTCGACGTTGGACATTCCGCGAGCCAAGGCGTCGGATGCGGCATGGTACCAGTGCACCGCTCAGAACGTCGCAGGTTCCACCGCTACTCGGGCAAGGCTCTATGTCGAAGTACCAAAAGAGCCTCCGCCTGAGCAAAAGCGTCTGCACTTACCCCGGCCTACAAAGATCATTGAACCAGAGTGAGTAATTATATTAAATATATTATATGTATATTTTTAAGTATATACATTGTATATACTTAAATAAATGTTATTTGGTAATTCTAATTCGAATATATGTATGTATTAATAATATGTTGGCCAATATGAAACAAATTTTGATATGTAGATGTTTGCATGCTTGAAATTTTATTACAATTTGATATAGGTACATAGGAATATATAGATTAATACATAAGAAAATACATGAATTTACGCTAGTAATATTTTGTTATACAGTTAGTGTATATATTTATAATGTATGCTTTTAGACCTGCTCCTGGACCAGAAATCATATATTTGAGGCACGTGGAAAGAGCAAGACCTTATATTCCTCCAGGAGAGGAAGATCGAGTTTATCCTCCCCCACAGTTTATCGTGCCACTCAAAAGTGTATCGCAGATAGAAGGTGGCAAAATTCACTTTGAAACGAGGATAGAACCGGTTGGCGATCCAACGATGAAGATAGAGTGGTTGAAAAATGGACAAAGTATTGAAGCTAGTAAGTATTTAAATTGTATAAACTTCTATTGATAGAGAACCCGCGACTTCAAACTCATGTTCAAAGAAAGAAAAGTTCATAACATTATAAATGAAACGTATTATAATACATTAGTGAAAATCATACCGAAATCTGTTAAGTAGATTTTGATATTAGCGCGTGCAAACCAAACCGAACGTCAAACTTATTTTAACACATTACAATTTTCTGTTCCAGGTTCTAGGTTTACATCAATATTCCGATTTGGTTATATTTCTCTAGATATGCTCAGTCTCAATATTCAAGATAGTGGAGAATATACATGTCGTGCGATCAGCTCTACAGGAGTAGCTGAAACGAAAGCTGTTCTACAGGTTACACCAAGAGCTACTATTGAAAGAACAAGTCAACATCCACAAAGTTTACAATATATTCAACAGTTAGAAGATTATTCTAAGTATCAACACCAAGAATCTATCGAAGAACAATCGTTGCAGAGGCCGCAATTTATAAGGCCATTACAAGATCTCGGTGAGCTACAGGAAGGAAGAAATGCACACTTTGAAGCGCAACTTACCCCCGTTAGCGATCCTACAATGAGAGTAGAGTGGTACAAAGATGGAAGACCAATTACAGCCAGCTCGCGAATCACGTCAATCTTCAACTTCGGTTACGTCTCCCTTAACATCATGCACCTACGGGCTGAAGATGCAGGTTCGTACACAGTGCGGGCTGTTAATAAATTGGGTGAAGCCATTAGTACCGCTAGTATTAGAGTAGCAGCTAGAAGTACAGTTACTGCTGATCTTGGTATACCGGAACAGCGCCGATACATCGAGAAGACTGAGCAATTAGAAGCTTACCAACAGCAACAACACCAAAAATATTATCAGGAAGTCCCTGAGAGCACTCAGAGACCTGAATTTAAGACTCCTATTAGGGATCAAGTAAATATTAAGGAAGGTGGTTTCGCGCACTTTGAGGCTCGACTAGAGCCTGTGGGCGATTCAACCTTAAGAGTAGAATGGTTAAAGGATGGACGTCCTGTCGAAGCAAGTTCAAGAATTACTACATTCTTTAATTTTGGTTATGTGGCATTAACTATAAAATCAGTGACCGTACATGATGCTGGTCATTACACGTGCAGAGCCTATAATGCACTTGGTCAAGCAACAACTGATGCTAATCTGACAATAATAACAAAGAAAGATATAATTGCGGAGTCTCAACATCCAGGTGGACTGGAAAAAATACAACATCTCGAAGATTCTAGCAGGTATTTGAGAAGAACTGAAGAAGAAACAAGGGTTACACAAAAACCCAGATTTTTGGGGCCATTAAAAGGCACAAATAAAATTGTAGAAGGTCAGAGTGCACACTTTGAAGCAAGGGTTGAGCCACAAAGTGACTTGACCATGAGTGTGGAGTGGTACTTTAATGGAAAACAAATTAAGACTGCAAATCGTATTCAGACATATCATGACTTTGGTTATGTCGCGTTAGATATAACTAACGTACGCGCTGAAGATTCTGGCGTATACACTGTTGTAGCTCGTAATGCGGCAGGAGAAGCCCAACTTAGTGCATCCATGACAGTTGAGAGTAAGTAAAACACCGTATTTTTTTATACGTTAATTTTGTTAATGGACTATTTATATATTTTATAATGAAATTTCTATTTTCAGCCCGATCGAGTATTGATACGTCTAGTATTCACCGAGGTTTATACGAAAAAACCCGACAAATAGAAGAATCAAAATTTGTGGAACCAATGTATCAAATTGAAGAAATCTCAAAATCTAAACCAGTTTTCGTACAGCCCTTATCAGATCCAGCGCCAATATCCGAGGGGAAGAACATTCATCTTGAATGCCGGTTAGAACCAATGGGTGATCCTACAATGAGAGTAGAATGGTTCCACAACGGTAGAGCTATAACAGTAGGCTCCAGATTTAGGACATACTATGACTTCGGATTTGTAGCTTTAGATATAATTCATGCAACATCAGTTGACACAGGAGAGTACACTGTTAGAGCAGTAAATCATTTAGGATCAGCTCATACATCTGCAATGGTACGTGTTATTGAGAGGTCAGATATTTTAACTGAAACACAGAATGAACAAGCTGTTGAACAAATACAAATGCTGGAAGATGCTGCTAGAAGAAGCAGACAGGTACAGGAAGATATAACAGTAATGCAAGCACCTCAGTTTTCTAGGGCATTACATAACATTGAAACAATTGAAGGTACTAATGTGCATTTGGAATGCAGATTACAACCTGTCGGAGACCCTACGATGAGAGTCGAATGGTTCTGTAATGGAAGACCAATCAAAACAGGTCACAGGTTTAGACCTGCCTATGAATTCGATTACGTAGCTCTTGACTTATTAAGCGTTTATCCAGAAGATTCTGGAGTTTACACATGCCAAGCTACAAATCAACTAGGCGAAGCAGTGACATCTTGTGCATTGCGTGTTATTGCTAAGAAGGACTTAATATTCGAATCACAACATCCTTCTGGACTCGAGAAAATTCAATATTTAGAAGATGCTTCGAGGTATAAAAAATCTGAAGTGATTGATGAGTCTATAAATATAAAACCGCATTTTGTAACCAAGCCTAAATCGATAGAAAACGTAATAGAAGGGAATCATGTTCATTTTGAATGTAAGCTGGAGCCAGTAACCGATTCAAATCTCAAAGTAGAATGGTTCAAGAACGGCCAACCTGTTACTATTGGCCATAGGTTCAGACCTATTCATGATTTTGGATATGTGGCACTGGATATAATCGATTTGATTGCAGAAGACTCAGGTGTTTACACTTGTAGAGCTGTAAATCTTGTAGGCACCGATGAGGTAAGTTGCAGATTAACTTGCCGCGGAACGGCTGATATTATTAGAGGCACACAAAATGAGGCTGGTTTGGAACAAATTCATGTTTTAGAAGATAGGTCACGTTATCAAAGAAGTGATTATGTTGATGAAATCACTTCGCAAGCTCCTATATTTACGACATCCTTAAAAAATATTGAAATAAAAGAAGGACAGCGCGCACATTTTGAATGTAGACTTATTCCAGTATCGGATCCAACAATGAAAGTTGAGTGGTATCACAACAATAAGCCACTCAAGAGTGGTTCAAGGTTTACTGAAACAAATAATTTCGGTTTTGTGGCGCTTGATATTATGTCCTGCTTACCTGAAGATTCCGGAACGTATACTTGCAGAGCTATAAATGCTCTCGGCGAAGCAGTTACTTCAGGAATTGCAGTTGTGCATTCCAAAAAGTCAATTTATTTGGAATCTCAGCATGAAGGAGCTCTAACAAGATTAAATCAACTTGAAGATACCTCAAGATATCAAAGATATAGCGCACAGGATGAGATTATTACTCAAGCACCAGTATTCACGATGCCTATGAAAGATATAAGAGTAGCAGAAAATCAAGCCGCACACTTTGAGGCAAGACTTATTCCTGTGGGTGACCCAAAACTCCGCGTAGAATGGTTGCGTAATGGTGTACCAATTGAAGCATGTAAGTATATTTTATTAATACCGTGTTAAAGAACTTTTATTAAGTGATGTAGATTATTATTTACGTTATTATTCTATTATTTTAGCAAATCGATTAACAACGATGCATGACTTTGGATATGTCGCTCTTAATATGAAATACGTAAATCCTGAAGATTCTGGAACATATACATGCCGCGCAATAAATGAACTAGGAGAAGCTGTGACTTCATCGACGTTATTCGTACAATGTAAGTAGAATATTGAATAATTAAAATAGGTAGATTTCATTCACTACTTTGTTAAATGCAAAATATAGCCGTATCTATTTAATTCGCTAATTAAAAAAAACAAAGAGGCAAACATAGTTATTAAATAAAATATATTTAGAATGTAACTTTAATTATTATGGTATTAATTCAATAAAGTATAATAATTACATGATTTTTCATATGTAGCCAAAGCATCGCTGCAACTTGAATCACAACATGAAACTGCGTTAGAGAAAATTCAACAGCTCGAGGATACATCGCGTTATCAACGCAGAGAAGATGTAGAGGTTCAAGTTAATCAAGCACCTAGATTTATCACTCAATTAAACGGACCTTCAAGACTAGTAGAAGGACAGAGTGCTCATTATGAATGTCGCATTGAACCATACCCAGATCCCAATATGCGCGTGGAATGGTATTTCAATGGAAAGGTTTTACAGAGCGGTCATCGATATCGTACTGCTTTTGACTTTGGGTTCGCAGCACTTGATGTTCTCACTGTTTACGGAGAAGATTCTGGAGAATACACATGCAAAGTTATAAATAATTTAGGACAAGCTACATCATCTATCAAGTTGAATGTACAATGTGAGTAAATATGGTTATAAATAGTCCAAAGAATTTAGAGTTGAAATCACAAACAAAGATTATACTACTATTTCTTCTTGCTTTATGATACACATATTATTCTCTAATTAAATATATTATATTTACAGCCAAGGAATCCATAATAAGGGAAACACAACATGAAAGTGCATTAGAAAAGATTCAGTATTTAGAAGATGATAGCAGATATAGAAAGGTTGTTCGCGATGAAAGCTTTGTTGCTGAAAAGCCACAATTTGGAAGGCCACTTAAGAATGCTCAAGTCGCTGAAGGCAAGCCAGTACATCTTGAAGCAACATTGACTCCAGTAAATGATCCTACCATGCGAGTTGAATGGTATTGCAATGGACGACCAATACAACAAGGTCACCGCTTTAAAACTACTTATGATTTCGGATATGTAGCACTAGATATTCTCTATGCATATGCTGAAGATACAGGTACTTACATGTGTAAAGCAACAAATGCCGTTGGAGAAGCTGTCACTACAAGCTCTGTAAAAGTGGATGGTAAGAATTAAGCTATAAAATATAAACCATTATATTTCATTTATTAAATTAGTTCGTGTTAATTTAATTATTACAATTGTTTTTAGCTAAATCTGGCCTTTACCTTGACACACTTGATGAACAAAGGCTGAGAAAGATTCAAGAACTAGAAAGGTATGAAAGACCTAAAGCAGTTGAAGAAGAACAGCCTGGACAAAGACCCGTATTCTTAACAGCATTAACAAGTCTTGAGAATTTGAAAGAAGGTGACCGCGCCCACTTCGAATGTAGAGTTGAACCGATTAATGATCCTGATTTAAAGATTGAATGGTTCCTCAATGGACAAAAGATAAAAACTGGCCATAGATATAGAACTACACATGACTTTGGCTATGTAGCCCTGGATATTCTATACTCTTATGCTGAAGACTCTGGCACGTACATGTGTAAAGCAACTAATAAGCTTGGTGAAGCCGTTAATACATGCACGTTGAAGGTTGCAGGTATGTAAAATTTATTAGAAATACAACTGTATTGCAATAAAAATGAATGGGATTTTTATATTATCTAAAACAGTGTCATATCACTAAAATAATATAAAATATATAGTTTGCTATTCTATAAATGATAGTAATCAATTTATCTTATAGTGTTTTGATTTTATGTAATAATTAAAATTAAAAAGCCTTAGCCTTATTACATTGTAGTCATTTTAGCCAATTTGCTTACTTATTTTAGTAGTTAACTTAGTTTTTGTGAGCTTATTTAAAAATTGTTGCTGAGCAATAATTTTTAACGAACTGTTAAACATCTTTGCTGTATATTACACAACTAGTATGATATCATCGCAAACAGAAGGTGACTCAAGAACTCACCATCAACTTTTACTTCCTTCTTTTCCCAAATGACTTCTCGTACACACTCTCGTGAAAGTCCTGGCCCTTGAATAATAAATAAAATAATTATTATAATAACATAATATAATTTTTCGTGTAACATGTATGTTTAGTTAATTAAAATATATATTTTCAGGGCACAGGAGTATTATTCTAGATACTCAACATCCGAATGGATTAGAAAAGATTAGACAATTGGAAGCACAAGGCCATCACACTAGATTAGAAGTGGAAGAGCCTAAGATTAGCCCGCCTAGGTTCGTTACCGAACTAAGGGGAACAACGCACGTATTTGAAGGCAAAACTGCTCACTTTGAATGCCAAGTTGAACCTGTACATGACCCCAATTTACGTATTGAATTCTATCATAATGGAAAAGCCCTGCAATCTGCCTCAAGGTTCCATATCACTTTTGATTTTGGTTATGTGTCATTAGATATTCAGCATTGTGTTCCTGAAGATGCTGGTGAATATTCTGTTAAGGCCATCAATGCTCTCGGTCAGAGTACCTCATCGATATCTTTGACAGTAACCGCAAAAGGCAGTATTATATCGGAATCTCAACGTCCAGAAGGTCTGGAAAAGATTCGAGAATTAGAATCAGTGGAACCATTCAAACGTCCTGAGATACCGGAACCAGTTACTAGGCAGAGACCAGTATTTACACAACCTCTCCAAAATATCGACAATATACAAGAAGGACAAACGGCACACTTTGACTGCCGACTTATTCCTGTTGGAGATCCTACACTTAAAGTAGAATGGTTTAGAAACGAAAAACTTATTGAAGACAGTTCCCGAATTACAAAGACACATGACTTTGGATATGTTTCCATGACTATCACGCATGTACGTGACGAAGATGAAGGTGTCTATATGTGCAGAGCATCAAATTTACTCGGAGAGGCAGTTACAACTGCTGCTATGAGAATAAAAAGTAAGTTATTGTCATTTAACAAAGTTAACATCTGTTATTTAATAATTTAAATGTTTACTAATTTTGAACTTAAACCTACAGCAAAGGCAGCTATCCAGTTGGATACGCAACATCCCGAAGGAATGAAGAAGATTCAACGATTGGAGGAGCCGCAGCCTAAACGAAGCGAGGAACCAGATCGGGAGTTTGAAAAACCAATTTTCACACAAGTTCTTACTGGACCTTCGGAACTTTGGGAAGGACAACATGCACATTATGAAGCTCGCGTTGTTCCTGTTGGTGATCCAAGCTTACGATTTGAATGGTATATTAATGGCGTAGAACTTAAAATGGGTAAGTACACTTATTTTAGTAAATCAGTTTTAAAAATCATATATAAATAATGTTAATAAAGCCTATAATATAAAAAAACAAATTTAACTTTCAGGATCACGATTCCGTACAACGCATGACTTTGGATTTGTAACATTAGATATAAACTCAGTAGTTGCTCAAGATGCTGGACTATACATGTGTAAAGCTATTAATAGAGCTGGTAGTACAGTGTCCTCGACAGCACTAAAGGTCAAGACAAAATCTACTATAGTAGATCAAGCAATGAGGCCTGAATCTTGGGAACAGATTCAGTTAAAAGAAGCAGCAATGAATAAAGTCCCCGAGATGTTTATTGATAGTGGAGTTCAACAGGCGCCTATCTTTACCACTCACTTAAAGAGTTACGATAAACTCGTCGAAGGACAGCATGTATACCTTGAAGCACAAGTAGAACCGCGTACAGATCCTAATTTAAGAATAGAATGGTTTAAAAATGGCATATCTTTAACTACAGGAGCAAGACTGAAGAGTACCTTTGACTTTGGACTTGTCACATTATCAATCAATGGTTTGAGAATAGATGATTCTGGTATTTATACATGCAAAGCTACTAATCTTCAGGGAGAAGCAGTCTCTACAGCTTCTATTAAAATTGAAGATCGTCACTGGCTACTTGGCGAATCACTTCATCCCGAATCGCTAGACAGAATTGGAGCTTTAGAACAGCCTAAACCAACGAAACCTGAAGCGCCTGAACCGGTTTACGAAACACCTGTATTTATTTCTCACTTGAACAACATATTATGTAAAGAAGGCGATAATATTCACTTCGAATGCAATGTGGAGCCTTCTAGAGATCCAACACTTAGGATTGAATGGTTCTTTAATAACAAAGCACTATCCTCAGGTACGAGATACAAGAGTACTCATGATTTTAGTTATGTATCATTAGATATTACTCACACATATGAAGAAGATTCTGGTATCTATACATGTAAAGCGACGAATAGTAAGGGATCAGCTACAACATCCGGTTCGCTTAGGTGTACTGGAGATAAAAATATTTATTTTGATACCCAACATCCTCAAGGAAAAGCTGGATTGGAAGCCGTTGAACAAGCTGAAGAAGCTAGATTAGCAAAGGGTAGGAGACCGTCTGTGCCTGATGCTGAATACGCGAAACCAGAATGGGTAGTTCCAATAGCAGCTGAAAATCAACTACTAGAAGGCCAAGCTCTACATTTGGAAGGTCAAGTTGAACCCAAAAATGATCCTAATCTGAAAATTGAATGGTATTTTAATGGCAAAGTGCTTGAACAAGGGTCAAGATTCAAACTTACTAGTGATTTTGGTTTTGTAACTTTAGATTTAATCGATGTTTACGAGAGAGATAGTGGAATATACACATGCAAGGCTTACAATAAAAGAGGCGAAGCTTTCACTTCTTCGACCATTTATTGTATAAGCAAAGAGAACTTGATTGAGAGGACACAACATCCTAAAGGTACGGAAGGCTTGGAGAGGATACAAAATCTCGAAGAGTCACTTCGTAGAGAACCTGGCCAAAAACCTGACGATGATACGGGTAGGCCACCAGAATTCACTAGCGTTTTCAAAGATATTGTGGATATAAGTGAGGGTCAAATAGCTCATTATGAAGCTTCATTAATACCAACTGGTGACCAGAGTATGGTAATTGAATGGTTCTATAATGGAAAAACTATTGAAGCTAGTCACCGCATTCGTACCGTTTATGCATTTGGTATGGTTGTTCTTGAAATACTGGGAACTAAGACCACCGATTCTGGAGTATATTCTTGCCGAGCTACTAATAGATGGGGTCAAGCAGAAATAAGTGTCAAATTAGAATGTGTTGATAAGAGTAAAGGACAAAAACCCAGATTTACTACCCACATTCAAAACATCGACGGACTAAAAGATGGTCAGTCTGCACACTTTGAATGTACCGTTGTACCTGTGGATGATCCTGATATGAAAATTGAATGGTATCATAATGGTCAACATTTGAGACATTCGACAAGAATAAAGACCGTTTCAGATTTCGGTTTTGTAGTTCTTGATATTGCGTATACTCAAAATCATGATTCTGGTGAATACGTTTGTCGTGCATACAATAAATACGGAGAAGATTTTACTAAAGCTACTATTGGTTGTTACGGACGCAGTGGAGTTTACTTAGATAGTTTACAACCTGATTCCTTAGCTAAAATTAGGGAGTTAGAAAGTCTGCAAGGTCAACAACAACAAGCACCTGCGGCAGCATCTGCAGAACCTCCAAAGTTCCTTACTCAAATACAAGATGTCACGAAACTTGTAGAAGGTCAAAGTGCTCACTTTGAGGCCCGTCTAGTACCAGTAGATGACCCTGATCTTAAAGTAGAATGGTTCTACAATGGTAAGAAATTACCTCATGGCCACCGATACAGAACTTTCCACGATTTTGGTATCGTTATCTTAGATATACTTTATTGTTATGAAGAGAATTCCGGCACATATGAGTGCATTGCCACTAATAAATTAGGCCGCGATTCCACGAAGGCTACTCTCAAATGCACATCGAAAGAGAATTTGATCTTGGACTCGCAACTCCCGCGGGTAAGTAAAATATTTCCTAAACCACCTAATAATATACATATTAAATATAAAAACACAAAGGCAAAAATAAATAAGTATTATTGTTGTAGGGCATGGAAGGTGGATTGGAGAAATTACAAACTTTAGAAGACTCAATGGTTCGGAGGAAGGATACCACAGTAGAGGAAGAGAGAGGCAGGGCTCCCGTCTTCACCGTTCCATTGTCAAATATTGATAATCTTAGAGAAGGTGAAAATGCACATTTTGAAGCGCGACTGACACCAACTGATGATCCGAACTTGAAAGTAAGTAATAAAACTTTTTGTTCTCGCCATTTATGTGCAACTTAGTAAGTTGGAATAAAAATGTTTTATTTTAGAATTCCATTTCACTGTGAAGTAAAGAAAACTATGCTAATAATATATGTGAATAATAGCAGACTAACAACTCGTTTTATATGGATAGAGTTAGGACTTTTTTAATGGACATATTAATTTATATGAATTTTGTTTGAATGACATATTGAATGTATATATAATACTACTTACCTTCTCAAATTTTAATTAGGTAAATAATAAGTAAAACATTAATTTGTTCAGGTGGAATGGTATTGGAACGGAAAATCACTTAAAGCTGGGTCGAGATTTAGAACATTCTGTGACTTTGGATTCGTAATTCTTGAAATATCTCCTACGTACCCTGAAGATTCTGGAGAGTACTTATGCAGAGCGTATAACAATTACGGAGAAGCTGTAACTACAGCTACAATGAAGGTTCAAGGAAAACGCAATATTATCTTAGAATCTCAGTTACCCAAAGGTATGGAGGGTACTATTGATAAAATCGCAGCTCTTGAGGGATATACTGGGACTGTGGACTCTTTAACACCAGAAGCGGAGACTGGAAATCCACCAGAATTTATTACAACTCCGTCTGATCTTATCTTATCAGAAAATTCATCCGCTCACTTTGAATGTCGCTTAATTCCTGTAAATGATTCAAGTATGAGAGTGGAGTGGTATCATAATGGAAAACCACTTTTAACTGGATCCAGAGTAAAGACCATTAACGATTTCGGATTCGTTATATTAGAAATTGGAGGAGTTTATCAGCGTGATGCTGGATTATACACTTGCAAAGCCACGAACCGCCATGGTGAGGCTACTGTCTCCTGCAAACTTCAAGTTAAGGGTAGGCAAGGAATTATTTTAGAACCCCAATTACCATCTCACTTCAAATCTGGTACGGAAAGTATTCAAAAATTAGAGGAGACCTTACACAAGAGAGAGGAAATCGCAGTTGAAGATGAAAAGCCTAATCCACCGAGGTTTACTGTGGAAATTAAAGATAATATTGATATACCTGAAGGTGGACCGATACATTTCGATTGCCGTGTAGAACCAATAGGAGATCCAACGATGAGAATAGATTGGTTCTTCAATGGAAGACCTTTTGCTACCGGATCTCGCGTCCATATGCTAAATGATTTTGGTTTTATTGCTTTGGACATAGATTACATATATGCTCGTGATGCAGGCGAGTATACCTGTAGGGCTACCAACAAATGGGGTTCAGCAACAACTACTGCTAAGATCACTTGCAGCTCGAAACGTGATATCGTTTTAGAATCACAATTACCACAGGGCATGAGCGGTGAGAAAATTAAGGAACTAGAGAAAGGACGAGTGAGTTCCGCTCCTAAGGAGGAGCCAGTAGTTAGTACTCCTCCTAAATTTATTACACAGATACAGTCACACACTGTTGAAGAATCAGAAGGCGTGCGTTTCGAATGCCGTGTTGAACCCAAAGAAGATCCAAAACTGCGTATAGAGTGGTATCGCAATGGCAAACTTTTGCCTTCTGGACATAGATACCGAACGGTCTATGATATGGGCTTTGTTTCCCTTGATATTCTGTATGTTTATGCGGAAGACTCTGGCGAATACGTTTGCCGAGCCGTTAATGATTTTGGTGAGGACTTTACTAAAGGAACAGTATCCTGCAAACGTGAGTACTTACTTAAAAAGCATTATTAGTGGGTTAGAATAAAGTAATTATGTATATTTTTAATATATATATATATTTTTACAGAATTACCAGACATTATTCTACAAAACCAAGTACCCAGAGGTATGAAGAGATCCGAAGCACTAACTCAAATGGAAGCTACAATAAAGAAATATACATCGGAAATATACTTAACTGAAGATGATCTATACGATGTTGATAAGAAACAACCACCGCGGTTCGTCACACAGATTCAGAGTCAGACAACTTTGGTAGAAATGGAATCTACGAAGTTCGAATGTCAGTTGGCTCCAGTGGGAGATCCTAATATGAAAGTAGAGTGGTTCTTCAATGGCAAGCCGTTGTTGCACAGTGAGTACTTCTGAATTGATATTTTAAAAATTCATAGAAATACGTGTCAGCATTATTAATACAACCGTATATCATTTCATCGATGCTTGAGGCATCGATGAAAATTTACATCCATTCCATCCAAATGCATTGTGCTTAAATAAATAACTAAGAGATCTAGGATAAATGTAGACCATAAATTCTACTGTCACTAAAATTGTACATATATTTTCAGAGAATCGTTTCACACCCATTTACGACTTCGGTTATGTGGCCATGAACTTTGGCTGGGTTTATCCGGAGGATAGCGGCGAATACGTCTGCCGTGCGACCAACCTTTACGGAATGGACGAAACCAGAGCTGTTATAAAAACAGCTGGTAAACCGGGCATCGTATATGATTCGCAGTTACCTAAACACATGAAGAGTATTGAAAAGATTAGGGAGATGGAGGCATCATGGCAAGTGTAAGTACAGAAGTTATTATATATTTTTTAATTACGTTATTAATAGAGTGAACTTTATTGTAGTTTCCCTAAGATTATACTCATAAATTCACTATACATAACTCAGTAATATTAATTTGCATATGCAAAGTAAAATATTATCAGCTTCTATAATACATAGATATAGTAAAAGTATAAGACAATAGTTTTGTGTAAGTCTATGCTTAATAAATTGTTTAAATTGTAGAATGAATATATACACTGTTTATATGCAAAATACTCAATCGATAGGCTACATTTAACACGATAAAAATAAAATGGAGGTCAGATTCCGGCTCTGTTAATAGGTCGTATAAATAATATATAGTGTCGAGTTGAGGTTACAATCGGAATTTATCAAGTTAATATACTCAGAGTATTCTCCGTAACGTAATTGTATATAAAAATAGTTCCAATATAATAACAGAGTTGGAGTGTTCTGTGACATCTAAATTTTTTTTAAATCTACATTTTTTTAGTTAATACTATAACCAAAATTGTAACAGTAATATACATGTATTATTACTATTACAGTTTCACTGAACAGCAAAACACGTATACGTTATTCTCAGACAAAAAAGCAAAGTAACTACCTATTATAATAAGATTTTCTGCTACTACTTACATTTCAATTACATGTATTTAGGGACCATTTTTATATGTATTTGCATGTTATTTTTGTATTCAAATATAGAGCACCAGAACAAGCAGTGGATGAGACAAAGGCCCGATCAGCGCCAGTGTTCGTGAGTCGACCTGAGCCCGTAACCGTAGAAGAGGGCGAATGGGCTCGATTCTGCTGCCGTGTCACTGGTCATCCTAAACCACGCGTAATGTGGCTCATTAACGGAAATACCATAGTTAATGTAAGTTTTAAAATTTTCAAATTAGCGATGTTAGTTACATCCTATTAGGTCATCGCAAAATCATTATTACTTAGTATAAAATAAAGACGCTGTCGCTGTTTGTCCGTCCCTGCGTATGCTTAAATCTTTAAAACTACGCAACGGATTTTGACGCGGTTTTTTAATAGATAGAGTGATTCTAGAGGAAGGTTTATATATATATAATACATGTACACCCGGGCGAAGCCGGGGCGAGTAGTTAGTATTATTATATAAACTAACTATAACGAATAACCTATTATGAAATATATATTGTTATTACCAGACCTGACAATACTATGTATGCATACACATTATATCTATAATTTTGTTTGAATAACTGGAATGGCAATGAACAGTGGACCCACCTGGTGGTAAGTGGCAACTGTTACCGCCGCATAAAGAACGCACCGGGCGTGTCTCGTGTTACCATTCCGGAAGACTAAGATGTCTCCGTATACCTTGTAATATTACTGCCATATCTCACCTTCAAATCGAAGCACAGTTTACACAATAGCTATATTGTAAAGTCTACCTGTACGTAAATGAACGTTCTGTTTAACCTCACTGTTATCCTACCAATAACAAAATATATGTATAATTATAAAATATGTTGACTGTTTTTGTAGGGTTCTAGGTATAAACTTATATATGATGGAATGTATCACTTTGATATACCAAAGACCAGACAGTATGATACTGGCAAAATAGAAGTAATCGCCAGGAGTTCGGTAGGTGAGGCATTAGCCACCACCGAACTAAAAGTCATTCCTAGACACGACGACTATAGAGGAGTATTGAAAAATGCCCCAAGACGTAAGTATTCTGAATTTATCAGAAAACACACAATTGAAAATAACATATCACATAATTATAATGCTTATTATGCGCTATGACGACATGCACAGTTTGGATTAATGAAAATCTAATACATTCACTGGGTGATTTTACCAAATTTTATACTTTCACATAGTATAGCTTTTCAATACTCAGCTGCTTTAACACACATCACCGACTCACTCACACACCGACAGACCGCTAAAGCACAAATAAAACCCTTGCTTCCTTATGCCCTTCCTCTTTATCTAAATAAGAAGTGTGCCAGCTATATCACCTGCTTCTACCGGCTTTACTTCGGAATCTTAAAGAGGTATGTCATGAAATTATAATCAAAATGTTTTAATAATCAATGTATTAACCTATTATATTGATCCCGTGCAGCTTGGTATGATGAGATCTCTCAGTATCAACGCTCTGAAACCGAGCTGGAAAAAACATTCGAGGAAAGGCAAACCATGCAACGCCAGGGCGTTATCGACCATAGGCCTGAGTTGAAAGCTAAAGTAGTAAAAGAACCCGAAACTGAATGGCAACAAACTGTCAAGAAGAAGAAGAGTGAGGAATATTATAACAAACTTCAAGAGTTAGAAAACGAACAAGTCATCAAGGAGAGTAGATTAAGGGAATCAACTCACCAATATGCTATTCCTGGTGAGAAAATCGCTAGCAGTTCTCTAGCTAAAGGCATGGCCCAAAAATATGAAAGTAGTATGTAAGTATTATTTGTTTCTTTTAGGTATATTCGCATAATAAAAAGTAGATAAAGTATTGTGTCTGATATTATTATATTATTTTACAGCGAACAAAACGAGGAAGTAGTTGAACAACAAGTACAAAAGAAAGTTGCTCAGAAGCCAAGAATACCCGATCCATCTGAGTCTACTGTTCATGGCAAAGAAGTTCATGTTGCAAAACAAAAACAAGTTCAAAAAGAGGTAGTAGGTGATACAGAAATTACCCGCAAAATTACTTCCACTGAAACAACTGAAGTCGAGCATAAAGCTCAAACACATGAAAGAGTAGTAGAGGGTCCTGTGAAGCCTAGCAAACCACCCATATTTACTAAAAAGATGCAACCTTGTCGTGCTTTTGAACATGAACAAGCACGATTCGAAGTTGAATTCGATGGAGACCCATTACCAACTATCAAATGGTACAGAGAAAACTTCCCTATAAAGAATTCTAAAGATTTCCAAATTCATACTTTTAGCACGAAATCAGTTCTTATTATCCGACAAGTATTTATTGAGGACTCAGCCGTATTTGCCGCAGTTGCAGAAAACCGAGGGGGTACTGCTAAATGCAGTGCTAATTTAGTCGTAGAAGAACGTAGAAGACAAGGCAGAGGTGGCGTTGTACCTCCCAGTTTTACTTTAACGGCTCAAAATGTTAATGTAACAGCTGGCCAATTAGTTAGGTTTGACACAAAGGTAACAGGAACTAAACCTATTGATGTTTATTGGTTAAAGAATGGAAAGAAAGTACAACCTGACATAAGAAACAAGATTCTGGAAGAAGATGGAACTTATACACTTCTTATTCTTGAAGCCTATCCACAGGATTCTGGTAAATACGAATGTGTAGCTATCAACAGCGCTGGTGAAGCGCGATGTGACGCGGAATGTTCTGTCAATGCTCCTGCAACAAAAGATAAACCGAAACCTCAAACAAAGGCTGCAGCCAACGCTCCTCCGGAAATTATCGAACCATTGAAAGACAAAGTTGTAACTGAGGGGCAGGCCATAGAATTCAGCTGTAAAATTGTTGGCAAACCTACACCTACTGTGCAATGGTACAAAGGTGATAAACTAATTAAACCATCAAAATACTTCCAAATGTCGAGAACTGCCGATGAGTATACTCTGCGTATATTGGAAGCTTTCCCCGAGGACGAGGGTGACTATAAATGTGTTGCTTATAATTCTGGGGGCCGTGTGACGGTCGCTGCAAAACTGAGGGTATCTCAGCCAGATCAGGCGGATAACTTACCAACTCTCACGCCACTTCGTGATGTTGTGGTGTATGAAGGGCAACCGGCTCAGTTCAAAACTCATATAACCAGCAAAACCAAACCTACTATACAGTGGCTGCGTGAAGGTGCTCTTATTCCTGAGACACCTGACTTCCAAGTAAGTTCCCCTTAATCTGTTAATTCCTATAATTATTCTATAAACGTTATATTTAATAAAAATTTTATAATTTTAAAAAAGTATCTAAAAAAATTATAAGAATATATAAATACTAGCTTTTTACGTTTGACTTTGCTGTGGAGAAACAACTAGTTGACCAGAATAAAGGTAGCCTATCTTTCCGTTCTTTATTACGAATGTTATAATGATTGGTGGATGTCATAGCGATCAGTAACAGACATACATATGTAGTTACATGTACATTTATCAACAAGGATATTTATTTTATTAACAATTTTGTATCAATTAAGGCGATAGATGAAAAATAATGTTTAACTACAGAGTCTCTCTATATGTTAATTTCAGATGATTCACGAAGGCAACAACGCCGTGCTGCTGATCGGCAATACGTACGAGGAGGACACGGGAACATTCACATGCCGTGCTACTACCGTCGCCGGCCAAGTCGAGACTTCGGCAAAACTAACCGTCAAAAGTAAGACATAGACACAGGCAGCGAGCTCGCGTCGCGCACTTTTAATCCATTAATGTAGTGTTTCTTTGTTTCATCTCTATACCACTATGAGATCGGGTGAAAACTACTATTCAAATTCGAAAGTTGACAAGCGAATTCAATTTTGTCCTAGATCAGTTAATGCAATCGTAGCGGTTACCGCAATAACGACTTCCGCCCGCTTCTTAGATACACCCTGTGATCGCAGTCATGATGTTATGGCACATAGACGATCCGTGTATATCCGTACCACATCTAATCATGAACGACTCGCCCCATTGGCCACGTTAGAATTAGGGTTTCTTATTCGCGCGAACATTCGACAACGCTGCGACACTCTAACATGCAAGTGAAATCAATTGTAAACTTAACTCAGTAGAATAATTTGGGCGAATTTCCGCATCTAACAATGCTGTACATTAAGCTTTTTGTGTAAATAGTCCTAGTCATACAACGAGACAGGCGTCACCTATGGATCAGCGAGCGACGGACCAGGAGCTACCCTTAATATGGATACACGTAACATGTGATTAACACGAACACGAGACATTCAATGACTGTTTTGGTTTGCTTTTACCGCTACGATGTTTACTAAATGATATATTTATAATGTCGATCACACTGTGAATAGAAACACATTGCGTAATCGAGACGCGTCTTTTGGCGAATCGTCAGATGTATTTTTCACCCAATACTCTTTAAAATTAATTTTAAGCCTGCGCTTAAAGTTAATAACTTATTTGGCCTTATTAACCTTAAGAATTGAAAAGTCACTATGCTTTTTGTGTTGAGATCTGACCTGTGAAACTTATGCAAATGATCTCACCTATTAAAATTTAATGAGCGAAGTTTATCAGGTGGTCACTGAGTCTGAGACTTGCGTTAGCTTCTGTGGTCCGTAAAGATGTCTGTCGCCGCTTGTAAATATGTTCGAGAGGACCACACAAGCCCGCTATGAGTTCGGAAAGGGACCTTGCTTTAGCTTTATCCTTAAGCATGATTATTGTTTGTATTGTCCAATTTCGAGTTTTGATTTTTCAATATAGACCCAATACTCCTAACAAAACTGCACGTAGGTTGCAGTTTCCTACGTCGCCATCTATATTCATCTAACAGCTACGACTAACTTTGTGTCATACCGTCCGCGGACTTGATGCGTTCATAAGTCTGGGTTTCGTGGGTGCCCCGGGCTCTGGGTGGGTGGGTCGTTCTCGCAAAGTTAATCGTGGTTGTACTACGTACCGCGCGGTGTCTCTCATTCCGCTGTCAACTCTTCTGTGACAAAGAAACATAATTTACAATGTAGTGCAGACTTCGCGACGTAGCATTGCGACGCAACGCGACGCATGTCTACGCGACGTCCACTACACATAAAGTACGCACGCACTACTTGCCTTGCCAGTTTCTATGTTTTGACAAACACTGCCGATGTTGATGACCTAATGTTTTCTGCAAGTACAAATCCGAATGAGATTTTATAGTTTAACGATACAGTGATCTTTAACTTAGTTTGTTTTAAGTGCACGATATTGTTAAATTAAATTGTGTTGTATGTTTCACCTAATTGTATTAAGTTATTAGTCGTGGCAATATTTTATCACTACATATTTTCAGTGCCTATCCATATTTAATTAATAATATATTTATAAAACGATTTTTTGTATGTTACCTTTATGTGAAAACTGTTTAATAAACGCTATAAATTATTGAAATATTCGAATTATTCAATACACAAGGGGATGTATTACAAATATTACCTTACTAGCGCTGAAGCATAGCGAAAAAGCGATGTTTACTGGGACTCCGTTTAGGTACATTCATCTACATACATACCTACCCAGCATACATTAAACACAACGCACTGACTGCGTGACTGCCATCCATCAACACGACGTTAGGTCCACAATCGATTCCAAACCAAAAGTTAAATATACATAAAGTTGAAGATGCGAACATAAGATTGATATAGAATTATTCATTGGACAAATCCACTTAATACACCTGTCTATGTGTTTAGGGTTCTTTGATGGATGGCTATGTCACTGTGGATGCTTGAAATCATCTACTGGCACCTTTCTCTCTAAACTTCTTTCTCTTCATGCCATATAGAATTTGTGATTTAATTATCACATTTTTTGCTACTGTTGTCACTAAATAGTTGATTAGCTTTAATCTAATATTGTTTTTTATTAAACCAGTGAATGGATGTTAACTAATTTGCTGCCATAATTTTAAATGAATGAATATAAAATAGTAATAAGTAAACTATAATTATGTTATGCATAAATTAATATAATGAGATAAATAATTTATAATATAAAGAAATGAATATTCTAAATTACAACGAATTAAGATATGTGAATCCTACCATGGTGTAATTGGAACAAAATGCCCTCTTTTCTATATTAAGTAAAGTGCTATACCTTAAAAATTATAATCAAATGTTTCAAGTATACTTTAGCATTCTATATATTGTTTACTTACGTGATAAAAATATTTAGGTTTCCATTTTCAATCACATTATAGATTTAATCATATTATATAATATTATTTTATAAGTGTATAGTGCTTTACTTAGAGTGACAATACTTAAGGACTTCTTATCCACTTTACAGTTACACAAATTCTTTAATTTTAAACAATTATTGCGGTAGGTAAGTACTGAAAGTATTTCTGATGTGTCAATGCAGTATAGTTATTTTTCTTTATGAATCTTGAACACTAAAACAATACCCTAATAAATTGTCCTGAGAAAAAAGAGAAACAATTATTAAACAAAACAATCATAGCACTTAAAGATGATTTAGAGTCAGTTTCTAATTATTATTTATTTCATTAAGAATGTAACAAAGTATTTACTAAAATAGTTCCAAGTTGTCTGCTCTATAAATTATATATTATCCAGAATTTAATAAAAAGCATTTTTACTAATGGAATTGAGAGAAAAAGTCGTAGAAACAATAAAATTTTGAAATTATATGAAGTCGAAAGTTTCAACCCATTTAGTAAGAGTTGGACCTAGTGTGAGATAAGTTTAAAGCACAGATTTAATTACGACGACGAGAACGCCGTGTGACTGGTAATAGCACTTAAAAAGCGCTTCACACTTGCATATTACAATATGCAAGCATGAAACGCTCAGTAACACGGAAAAGTGCACTTAAAGTAAAGTGACGTTGTAAAAGTTGACAAACTGTCATATACATCATAACATATGTATTTCGTGATGTTTATGATGCTATATATGATTATGTTATACGTCATACAATCACTGATGGACTGTGCTAATTTTCTAGCAGCTGCAAACTATAGATTGTTTGTTATTAAAAAAATTGTCTATGATGTTGATAGGGATTAATACTTTATTATATAAATAGTAATAGTATTTTGTATTATAAATCATAAAATAAATTTCTCATTATAAAAAATAAACTATGTGTAATGTAAATTTTAATTGACGGACTTTTAAATTGTTTTGTTTAGGTTTACTATCTAAATCTTTGCAGCTACAAAATTATAAATATAAGACAGTTTCAATAGTTACAGTTGGTGCCAGGAGGTACAAAGAAGTAACTTTTGTGTCATTTCCAATATAATTATTATATAGTTTATAAAGCAGACATTACAAAAATAACTTCCTGTTATTAGTTCCTTGACACTGACTTTCATTTCATCCAAACAGATTATGTGACCGATTATAGCAAACACATCTTTTGCTTACGCTATGACATTAAATTTCCAAATGCCAGTATTTAGTTAGAGATATGCCAGTATTAAAAATAAATAACTGATTATAGTAGAATGAAATACCACCAAATAAACACCAAGACTTATAGGTTATTGGGAAAACTATTATTGAATTACACATATTTTTTATAATGTAGGTATATAAAATTAAATTATTTCAAAATAGGTATATTAGGTACATATAAAAAATATATTTTTGCAACTATCTCGTCGCCTGGAGGAAAAGCGTCGCTACAAATCAATCTGATTTTCACAATATTGACGTAAGTATTACATTGGAAAGGGTGAGTACTTAAATATTATAATTAATAAATTATAGGTAAAGATGACAAGGGTATCTATTATACTACAGGATGATGTAGTGTTAGTACTACTAATAAAGTGATTAGGAGACGGTTGTCATTCAAGTGGGCCTGTTTACGTTTAATTTGTATAATGTAATAAATAAATGAGTGAGGTATTACGAGAGGAATGAATTAAACAAAAATGCACACAGTTACTAATTTTTTTATACAGTAACTCATAATTTATAGGTTAGATACGATTTGTTAAGACTTCATGGAAATTTTGCCTCGAGGATTTAATATTAATATATAATAAATGCGAAAGTGACTCTGTCTGTTTGTAACCCTTCACGTTTACTTTGTGATAGATAGATAATTTGTATATTACTACTACTATTATTATATTAGACCTTTGTAAGCGGATTGAACAAGGCAAATGACATAGATAGTCATTATGCAGTCTGTGGTAATTTTCGTACAAATTTTAATAAGAGGCTCCGGCTCTTCATGTCTTGTTTGTATTTTTATAATGATTTCTTTGTTTTCGCCGTTTCTTAACGGATATGAATGATTCTCTATACACAGATACATTCTATAATTTAGAATCTCTGTTGGTCCAGTACTAATTATATTTGGATATATGAAGTCTGATTTTAAACCAGTTTTATTTAGTTCGCCGAGTTTTAAGTCCTGAAGAGCCCTATGTAGTAATTGACTTTTCACCCTCTTACTGTTGAGCAAAAGGTACATATCTTTGGTTCCAACAACAATACAATTGTATTAGTCTAATTGTAAATACAAAATGGACGCCGCCAGAAAAGTTCATGCGTATCAAAGAAAAGTCTTGACTAGTAAAACACAGCATATAATTTAAAAAATAAAAATCCAAGATGGCCGTCGCCATTAAATGGACGATTGCATTTTTTAAACCCACAATATAAATCACACGCT